AATTGGCATTTAACATTTTAATGCATTGACATTTTTTTGTAAACATCACGTTGCCACCATCGGGTGTCACTACAAAAGTTGCTGTGAGATCAATTGGAATTCATCGTCTTATTAAAGGAGGCGTTCTGTTTCCATGTCACTGATCAGAGTGGGCCGTAATTACCGAGGTTGCTCGACCCACCCAGAATGTGGAACACTCCTGCGTGTTGTGAAAACCTCTGGGGCATTCATCCAAAGAGGCATGTGTTGGAGTTAACCCACAATCCAACTCTGTGCGTGTGGGAGGCGCGTGTGTCTAATTAAGTGCAAATATCTCTCTGCGTGGTAGCACTGAATGGGGAGGAAATAAATAACACTTAAGATCTAATTCAATTTGCACTGACCTGTTTAAGAATATATACAACACCAAACAACGCAAATAACACGAATGAAAAAGATGGAGTGTCTACTCACATTACTCAGGAAACTTGATTTAATTCACGCATCTTTAAAAAAATATTATTATTGTCAATTCTAAACATTACTTCCAAAGAGTGCCAGTTATTGGTAAGATTTAATTTTCATTCCAAAGTTTAAGACGTTCCAATTCGATATAGATGTAGTGCTGTGATAGCTGTTAAAGCGTTGACTCTCCCTTGCGTGTATCGATTCAGCTACATCTCACAAAAGTCAACTTGCACAACCTGTTCTATAATGTTTGTGATAAGTTGAAGATAGTAAACTCGAAATACTTGATTCACATCACTCTTTCTCCACTCCAGACTATATTCATATAGTGTACACCCTACACATGACACATAAAGTCTAACGTTGGAAAAAACAACAGTGATCATATCTTTGTTTAGGGGCCGTCCATAAATGACGTCACGCACCTGGGGGGGGGGGGCGGTCAGAAATTTGTGACGGTGTGTGACGAGGGGGGGGGGGGTTTGAGAAATGTGACGTCACGTAAAAAGGCGCAACTTTAAATAAATATAGACAACCCGTTTTGCTTAATGAAATAGACTTTTTAATAAATGTTTTCTCCTACAGCATCAGAGTGCATCGCCACATTAAATACGCACTACAATGACAATAGTTTAAAGCGATTTTAAGCATGTTTTATTTTCAAAATGGATTTTTTTGGCGGGGGGAGGGCAGAGCTTTGTGACGTCATATTTGAGGGGGGTTCTGACTTTTTGTGACGTCGTGTGACGAGGGGGGGGGGGTCAAAATTCATCCAAAATCGCGTGACGTCATTTATGGACAGGACCCTTATTGAAAGCAAACTATTCATGATTACAAATACATTACAGCACATTACAAATAGTGGGAATGTGCAAACATGAGCAACGGTGTTCATATCTCATAATCTGTGTATGTAAATGCAGAGTAAAGTTATACATACACAACCATGAATGCTTATAATCATAATCACTATTCTCATGTTTGATGAGACTTTAACACAAACGCTCCACCCCAATAATCATCTCCATTACAAACAACTTATGTTTTGTTCGGGTGGGATACGAAATGTCAGATGAAGGCCTCACCATGCCAATACTTTACCTCTGTTTGGTGAAAGTGGGGGAGTATAGACATGGGAGCATATAAGTATCGTACAACAATGGCTTGTTCTGCAATACTGCTCTTCTGCACACGATGCAGCCCAGCAGCCGATACTAACAATCTGTAGCAAATTGTGATTACCAACCCAAGCACTTCTCAGGCTCAAACCGGCTTAGCTTTTGAGACCTGATGTGATCAGGTGCATTCTGGGTGATTTAGTCATGGGCAGTGGGGTGGGACCCATTGACATTTCAGCAGGCCAACTTTAGAGCCAGCGATGTGCTGAAAGTTTTGCACTGGCATGTGTAGCAAGCAAACATGTGTTTTTTTCCCCTTACCATTGTTTTGACATTGACATATATCAAATGGGAAACAACTCACCAAGTTAAAGCTTATGTAAGTTTAATTTACTCCAAAGACATCGCTGGAGTAGCGTGTAATATCACTGGCAGGGTGTGTTTAAACAGGCACACAGTCCGTTGAGAAATGTAGCTTCTATATTCGTTTTTTTTTTCAATGTAGTCGCCAGTGTGGGTGCAATTTTCCGTGCACGTAGATTGTGGCACTCTTGGGAAATCATTGTTGTAAACTTAAACATTGCACACGTTTGTTTGGTGACATTTTTACAGTTGCAAGTACTCTGGTCAAAATTGTAACATTTTGAGTGGTCGAATTTTAACTTTTAAAAAATGTGTCTATGGTATAACTAATATATCTACAGAACTCCCTCTCATTCAGGCTGCAATGGGTCGTTATTGGTTGAGCATAGCGACAAAAGTTTAGAAATTAAGAAAAGATTCGCTAATGTTGTGATTTCATATGTATTCATTGTGTTGGATATTTTTTTTTTCCGAGTAATAATGTTACTGTGTTTTGTTAATATACGTTGAATTTAATAGTTTTTGCTGTTAATTAAAAGCAACCACGCCGTCCTTATGTCTGCTCTCAATGGGCTGTGCACTGGTTATAAAGGTCTACTACTAATAGCTAAATGGCCAGAACTTGGCTTTTGATAAGAAATTATTTAGGAATTTAATTAGTGATCATTAAATTAAACCCTCAAGCCGTTCTTGTTTACAGAGATCACATTGAGATAAGCCGAGTGACACTTGGTATGCTACTGCCACCATTCTGCCAAAAGACTTTTTTTTTGGAATATGAGTAATGAACAGATTAATGAATCAGTGAATGAATAACCATTGGGGGCTCGGCGACTGTCAGGTTTTAATCCATGTTTCGGGTCAATGCCGATCTGACCTGCACCACGTAGAACATTACATACCTCAGATGCGTAGAACCTCGACAATCCTGCACAACCCGTGGGCTTCAAGTCATATTACTGAAGCAATTGTTTTTAGTAGGGCGTTATTGAACAAAAAATTAAACAATTGAAGTTACACATTGTAATTTATTGCACATACCTGTGACAAATGTTGCACAACAGTCTCGGTTAAATAATTAACTAGGAGTTTGCTGCTTATGTATTGCCACATCATTGCATGTTATTGAGCTATTGCAGTCAATTAAAGTATCGCCCATATCTTTAATAATACAGGAGAGGATAGGACGGTCCAGAACCCTGTTTTCCTCTCTCGCCTGCGTCGGTGGTCACCCAATTGAGACAGGGAATCTAACATCGATACGCGTGGCCTACTCGGGCCATTAAAAATAGATTAAAGCAGTGTAGAAAAGGTAAAATTAAATTGGAAAAATATCCCAAGAAGAATGTGTTATTTACCTTTACAACTTTCATCAATTCATATGTATTTTTTTTATTTGACATCTGCAAGCCTGTACGCATACAAATTTGACACGTTTGTTTTGTTGTGGAGAATTGCCACGATGACCCTTGTCAAACCCCACGTGACATCATCCAACCAATCACAGTGCTGGTTCATGGGCACATTTTTGTTAAACAAAATCTATATGAAATTTGAACATGTCAAGATCTAAGCACAACCATATTTATCTAAATTAAATTTGAACATGTCAAGATCTAAGCACAACCATATTTATGCAGTGCCGTGTCTTCATCAAGAGACGGTGCATTAAATTTTGATTTGAAGCTTTCGTGACTGCATTGTTGCTGGACTAAATGAACCACTGTTGAGGAGTTGATAACTCAACATTACCATGAGGTTATTACTTGTCTAAGGCAGGCAGGGAGTAACAACTGTGATTCGCAAGCCATTTGAAACAGACGATTGTTTATTGCCTGCTGATACAGGTGCGTGTGAAGAATGCTAGGAATTTCATTGTAGAATAGGGTCAGCACTCGAAGGATTGACATAAAAAAATCTGATCTAATTAAAATAGGTAACAAATAAGATGGGTTGTGATCTTAAGATAAAAAAATCTGGTGATATTACGTACAGCTGCAGTGGGTAGTTTTATGTTAGTGTATGTAATTCGACACGGTAATCTTTTCCTAACATCTGTTATATCTAAAACTTAATAGATTCTACTACCGCTAAAAACGTCACGCTTGGATGAAATGGACCTGAATAGTACCAATATGGCAATGTTGGTCCAGTGTGTAAAATTAACCAAAATGTAAATCATTTCAGTTCGAGTACAAAAAGCATAAACAGGTTGTTGTTATTGCAGCACCTCGTGTATTATTATACCATAACCATCAATTGTTATTAGCCTCGCCTGATTAACTTCACCTGATCACTCCGTGTCGTCGTTATTTGGATGGAGTTGTGCACATAGGAGGGCAGGTTCAGTGGTTGGTGCACTCCACTATGAACCCAGCAACCCCACACACCCCCCTTTACCAATGTGCACCGACCAGCACGGTGAAGTATTCTGACCAATGCAACCCTCATGGCCCGGCGTGGTGTGTGAGGTGTGGGCAGACCTTCATTCAGCAGTGGACTGACAGATAGTTGGATTATTATTATTGTTTTCTTAAGTATGACGACGCAATCCGTTTTCGTAATTACATTGCAGGGTTAGTAACACTACCTCTGTTAATGTTGACACATAATTAGCTCAAAGAGTAAATATTGACCAACCATCTTTTTGCAATTATGTAGCTTAATGAATGGCGGCGGGGGAGGGGGGTTGCGCATTTTTAGTTTATATATTAAATGAAAACAACCATTGTTGTTCAGGTCGTGTCCTACAAACACCAGTTTCTATTTTGAGGGTTCAATTACCACCCATCACCAGAGCTCACTTGTCAAATTCGATGTTTTGTAATTGGTTCTCCCTTCATTTATATTCCATCTTCAAGAGCCTGATCTCCTACAGACACGAATCTGTGTGGGTTTTTGTGTGTGTGTGTGTGTTAGGCGTGCCTTCATTGACAACAGTGTGGCTATCCCTATGGTTACCCTCTACGTGACACACTGGTTTCCCAGCAACGCCCGCGGGTCGTGTGTGCGCCAGCGGTGACTGTGGAATCACATGTTGACTCTCTCCTCTGTTTTTCTTCTCCCCCACAGCTCTGTGAAAATGGGACGACTGGCCTCTACTATTCCAACTTGAACGGAGATTCCACACTTTGAAATGATTATCTCTCCGCAAACGACGCTGGGGCGGGCGGGAGTGTATCACGAGCCCTTTCAGAATGATGCTTTGGCAGATGTGGGGAGGGCACAGAATGAAATGGATGGATCTCACAATGTTGTGACAATCCATAAATGTTTATTTTTTATGATTGTGGAAATACAACGTGTAACTACTGTAGTATAGAAATGTATATGTGCACATTTTTGAATACAGTATCACAGCTGGTCAATTAGATTCAAGGCAGTTAAATCATAATCTTTATAGGTATTGCGATTAAATGGTATTAACATTTTTATTTCAATCATCTCTTGTATTTCTGCTTGTACTTCTCATAGTATGTCGACTGCAGAAGTTTATTAAGTAAAGTATATTGACTGCACTCCAATAACAAATATGGTATATTCCAACATTCACTTGTCAACGTATAACGTTTTTCAGTGGAAAGCAAAAATATGACCACTATATAGTTATGGGCCCAGATTAATAAATTATTTAAAATATATATCATGACATTAATTTTCAAGCAAAGCTCTTTCCAAAACATATTTTTAAGGGAAATGCCTTCCAAAAAGACTAGAAAATTGTACACATTTTATACAAATACAGGGTATATTGTTAATAATTTAACAATAAGAATCTTGAGCGATTGTGTATTTTGCATTGTAATAATTAGTAGTAATTAATCATAATCTGATCAGGGAATATACGACTTAACATAACTGTACAAAACTATCTAGAATTACGTATTATAAATGGTTATACTATTTATACATCGTTTCGAATTAAGTTCTATTGTGAACCACATCTTTCTCCCATTTAGTAGATATGATCTGTTGCCGTTACAGATTAATTCAGTGCTGGGTACCATAACAAATACATGGCAAGTGTATCCTGGAAATTTAGTATTTTATTTTAATCTTTAGATTTCATTTTTTTATATATATTTTCATACCTTGCTCAAGCTTGTACTGCTTCTAAAATACATTTTTTTTTAAAGAATAAATGGCAGTGGTATTCAAGGAGAGTTCGAGACACGAATGTAAGCTATGTCTGTGTCAGGGTTCTGAGCCAGCATCGCTGAGATCCACCATTCAAATTCTGAGACTGCACCCACTGTGTAGGGAGATTAAGTCTCATCCCAGACACCATCGCTGCACACAAATACCCAACTGTAAAATATGCTTTGCTTGTACAGTGATTGCGGTAAAGCTTAGAGCTGAGGGTTCAATAAGTAGCTGAATTATGAAGTACACAATATATTGGTTGGATCAGATAGATCCATGAAGGGCAGTGGCCAAAGACCTGTGATGTCATTGCCTGATCATTGCATAATGTTCATTCGTTTATTACGTTTTTGAGCACAATGGTCAGGATTGGACAAAGTGGCTTATTGCTCTACTTCTGCAGTAAATTCAAATAATATTCGCTATAGGTGTGCATGCCATTGCATTAATCGTGCATATATGAATACCTTTAAAAAGAATCAACCATTACTTATTATTTAAGATGTGAAACTCTAACCAATTTGGGAGAAATCATTACAGGATATGTGGTCCATCTGATAGTATTTATGTTATTCGGGTCATTACAAAATAACTGAAATTTAAACAGGTTTTAATATTCTTCACATATGTATTGCAATTTTGTGTCAAGAATATTAACTTTTCCAGCCGATTGTACAGAATTCGCAATTGCTTCAGACACAACCTCTGTAAATAATGGGAAGAAATTATATGTAACATTTAAAACAAAATACATCGCAACATAATCGTACACCAGGACAAAATGATTATCAGATATTCCATTTAAATGTGTCCCTGTATTTATAGAAATAAATAGCGTTTGCCTGAACATAGTAACTAGTGGTCATAGGATATTTTTAAGGGATTAGGTGGTTTAAGCAACGCAACCCATCCCTTCTTTACCCTTTACTCATAAGAAAAGGGCAATGATTCAATTTCATCCCTTAGATATGTGTTTATATCGCTTTAATATACACAAGTGATCATACTATGGAGAGGGCTGGCTCCTGCCATAGAAATGTGGAATTTAGACCCTTTCTTCAGTGTCGCAATGGAGACACTTTAATTTTAACATGCTAGTGAGAAAAGTGGTCATGTTTCTAAAGTGATTTTCTATTAAATTCACGCAACATGCAATGTGATGTATAATTCCCTTTAAACACACATTTTGCACTAAAATGTAACGTAAATTTCGTATGAACACATTCGCTTGAAATCTGATACATTAAATGTTTAGAATCCCATTTAAAAACTATCTTTATGCAGCAGCTTCACACCCCAATGCCATGTTGCATAAATGGACATTTAACAAAAAAATATCTTCCATACGAATGCATACATTTAATCGCTCAATATCAAATGTGTCCTCATTACACATGGTTAGCAGATGGGTTGCTTGCAGTCTTCCTCTCGTGCTCACCACAGAAACACAAACAATGTATCTAATTTACAACACAAACAAGGCTGACAATGCTATATCAATTAATATAACGGCGAAAATGACCTAAAACTCATTCATTTCAAGCTTGATAGTACTAAATTAATTTGGCAGCGAAATTTTGACAAAATCCTTTGTAACAATGCTGACAATGCAATATGAATTAATTCAACATTGAAAATGCTACCTTAATTTAATAACAATGGTGTCAATATTTGTTTTATGAATGTAGCATTGAAGATATGACCTTAAACTGATTAATAACAAGGCTGATAATACTCTAGTAATTAATATAGAAAAAGTTATTCCAGTCCCAAAATTTATAACGACTAATATTACAAATAAGAGTTTTAATTAATATAATTTACTACATTGGGGTGATTTTAGAAGGCACAACTTATACAATATAACAGCCGAGTGGGATCATATTTTATCGATTGTTTAACAATGTATGACAAAATACTGTACTGCATTACTATACAAGCAACAAAACGTATGCTTAGCTTCATTTATGTTGTTTTTCAAGCAAAAAGGTTAGTTACTGAGAAAAATATATTGGGTCATTTTATATTCAAAGCAGCATCGCCAGGACAAGATATGCAACAACTTAGGAGTGAGATAATACGGGTTCTTACTTGAGACACAAAATACATAGGTTCGATTCCCAGCTTGGGTATGAATTTAGGGGGTTTGCTTAATTCAAAAACAGCTTTTATTTTGCAAATACTCACCACACACACACACACCACTATTTAAAAGTGTCAATTGACCCTTCAAATAATATGCAATTGTTCCCCCATGCCTAGAGATGTCAACTATATCCTTTACGGGTCAATCACGGCCCACCGGGGCTCTGTCACCTCGGCTAAAACATATTCCAGAGGAAAACTAATCTTTATATTAGTCGTGTGTACTATAACATAAATCAATAGTAAAGCTTATGTTTTGACACCAATGCTCTTTGCTCTTGAAATTAATAAAAAAATGGCTCCTGTGGTTGTCTGAATCAACATAGTCCTATCAACAGAACATGTGTTAATTGATCTTAATTGGGTCACATTCTCATGTTTGCACAGTTGTTTGGATCGTACAATTCAAATTTAAAATTTTAGCCAAAGTTGAAAGGTATCCAGTTCTGAACTCATCACGCTAAAATGTTATATATTTGTTTAAATTATTTTCACAACTTGACACGTTTGCATGCCAGAATTCTTATTTTCGAAATTTCTACTCCACATTAGTATCCTGCATATTCTCCCTTTATATGCTCCTTGTCTTGGTTCGGTTCTATGCCAAATATATGTAAATGTAACACTTTTTTTTTTACTTAAATAATGTCAAATACCTCCTTTCCACTGTACAACCGAGCTGGGCTGAAGCCCTGCCGAACCAGCCCTGTGCGGCCTAAGAGGCACCGTTTTGTTTTTCCACTGCAGAATCCGAGCCGCGCTGTCATCGTCGCATGCATTGAATACGTTCAGGCGCATGTAAATAACGTGGCAGTAATTTCGCCTTTGAGTTTTAAATGGGCGATTAATCTTCCTCAGTTTTCTGAGCGATGCCACACTCCTTTTGGCCCTGATTGGCCCTGAGCCAGATTCGGATGTGTTGTTTGGTTCCGGATTGGCTCTGCAAATAGCCAGTGGAAAAACCTGGCTCAACTCAAATCATGGGTAACTCAAATCTGCCAGCGGAAAAGGTAAAAATGGGTCCTGAAAATAAATTGGATTTCACCTGCTAGGGGCCAAGTAAACACACTCAAGGGGAAACGATACGTTAAACTTCTCAGCTTTCTCTTTAGTTTTGTGCAACACCTTTACACTTGAGTAATCATAAGGTTCAAGAACAGTGAAATACCCTTAAGGTGTTTATGCAACTAATCACAATCCTTAAATCTAATCTGTATATCTACATATAATCTGGGTGAGTCGTGTTGCAATGGCTATGTCGGAATACTGAGTGAGCATTGTTAAAATCCTAAGTTCTAATCTCTGGCTTTCACTCTTTTTAACAAATTCTGATTGTCTTAACTCGATAACAACCAGTGGAATTGGAAAAATGTCAAATATTTTCGCACAAAGCTCCAAAGGATACCTTGCCAGATAAGATAGAGACTAAATAACTCAGTATCCTACACAGCTGAAGTGAGTGCGGTTTGGTCGTTGTGTAAAACAGACCGTGGAATAATGTCATACGCTTGTTATGCCACTTGTGGGTTGCAACTCCCAGATGGGACATGAGACTGCTGTTCTAGTGTATTTTAAAACAAAATGTTATTTTTCCATTCGCATAAACGCCAGCAGAATACTGAAGATGTACTGGATGAAAAATCCATATACAGTAGACTCGATTATCTGTGCTAATGACTGGGCGGACGGCGGTGGATAGTGAAAAATTGCGGATATTCCAAAATATATATTTCCGTCAATCTCAATGCCAAAAACAACTAATATAGGTATAAATTATGTATAAGTTAAGAAAATGTAGTTTGTTAAAGAGCAAAACTCAATTTTGTAGTGAAGAATCCACCGATTGATGCGTGTGCTCAGTGATAATAATATCCTGCCCACTAAGTGAATAGCAGAGCCACGCCCATCAACATCATTCAAACTCCACCCACTGTTGTAAAGATAGGCAACTACTGTACTGTAGAGGCGATCACGTAGATTTTGGATTAACCAGAGCACATATTTGTTCGGTTTAAGCGCGTAACTTGTAATAAACATTTCCAAAAATAACAATGTTTAACTGTTTTTAGATGATTAATTTGGGCTCAAGGGACAATCCATGAGTTATTATTTTACGTCAAAATCTCAGGTGCGTGGTTAATCTGCAAATCGCATACACCACACGCAGATAATCGAGATTCTACTGTATATATTCTGACTCTAAATTTAATATCTAGTGGATGCATGGTCCCCGAGTATAAAATGTGCATAAACATGTACACGGGATAGACCGAATTGATGACAATCTATTTTGAACACATTAACAGTAGGACATGCACCTGAATGAATATCATTAGGTTATGTTTTAGTCATGTCTCCTAATAATTCCAAATAAATTGGGAATTATATGCTCGTGTCAGACTGCTGCCCCTATTGCCTGTCCTCTCACTTCAGTACGTACCCTTGACATCTCTAATTATGTTACGTTAAACAACATTACAATTATCTCCATATTAAACACATTTCCCTCATCGCTTACGGCCTGCCCACCCTACATCTAATATGGTACAATGTGTAATTTTATATAGTACTTCCCCTTAGCTCTTAATACCGTTTCTGTCACTTGCATCCTGGATTTTTTTTATAAACGCAACACTGTGCCCCAACATCCATGCAAGTTTGTGTCCTATATCCAACCTTCATTTTGTCAAAAAGTATTTTAAAGAATATATTTTTCCCATTTCTCCAAATCTCTTCCATCATGGTGTCTCTGATCCAAAGGATTACTTGCCAGATAGGTATAGAGTCTATGCTATAGACTAACCACTTCTTTTTTTTGTCTTCCACCAAGGCCATTCTGCTCAAATTATTGTCTTGTGAGTGCTAAATGCCCTTCTCTCATCACACATTGTATTGCTATCATCCTGAGCCCTCCTCGTAATATATTTACTTTTGACACCATAGACCACTCCATAATCCTTAACTATTTCAATACTATGTAAGAATTTCTGGAACACTTATCTGCTGGATCTGCTCTCATCTCACAAACCCCTCCTAATGTTTCCATATGAGGTGTGTCTTCCGATCAGAAAACCCCTGTGTTATGGTATCCCTGATGACACCCAGCTCTACATCACCATTAGCTCCATAAACCTGACATCCCTGTCCACTTTCACATCCTGCCTTTAGACTGGTTCTAATTTTATCCAGCTAAATGTTGCCAAACGAAGTTACTCCTCACACAAAGTGTGAAACTCCCTTTCCCCTGCCATCCATGCTGTTGACTCACTGCCCCTGTTCAAGTACAGGCTCAAGACCTTCCTTTTCTCCTCTGTCTATGACTGCCTCGTTATAAAATCAATAGGCCCATTGTTTTTCCATAGCATCTTGAGACGCAGTCATAATTAAATGCGACATGAATCTAAATTGTATTTATGCATGTTTTTTGGCATAATGAAAATTAATAGATATTTGTTTGTACATACCATGTACATTGTTTTAAACATGGGACGTGTTATTATTTTTTATTAATTATTTGATCTGTCTACGTGGCTTTACCAAAAGACCCAAAGAATATGGTATATTAACCAACTCATTCCATTGTATAGTCTACATAAGGTTGTAAACTCCAATGAAAAACGTGTTTGAATGTTATAGATGTGGGCTATCTGATTAATTCAGAATCCTTTAACTGGATGAACAAACTTTAATATCGGTTTCCCATGCTTTCCCGCTGAATGGGAGGTTATGGGCAGGGAATGGTGACATTGGCATCATCAGCCACGTTGGTAATGCTGGGCATGGCCTACATGGCATCTCCCACCATCAGAAGAAGGATGTGGGGGTGACCCAACTAACCCACCGAAAAAATGGGTAATTTACAATGATAAATCTTAGTCCATTAATCCACTTTCCAAACCACTGCAGGTCAAAATGTGCCATGAGTTCCAGTACTCATTCCCATGAAGGTCCTGCTTTTGGTATGTTTGGTCACTTTCCTGTTTGAGCTTTCTTGTTGCATGTGGAAGGAAACTCGCGCTCAAACACACTTGCTTTCCTGCACTCCACAAGAACTCCATTTCCTCACTTCATCAAAGGTGGGTGTCTCATTTCCATGCAGACATCCACAACTGTAATGGATTACAGGCTGCGCCATCACACCAGGATAATATGGAGTTGACCGTTTCTTTGACGTTTCCTTAACCCTTCTGCATTGCCCAAAATAGTTTTGCTACAAGAGCGATGGCATCCAAAAGCTGAAACTTAACTGTGGGGAGGTTTTTTGCAAATAATGAATTGTCTTAATATTATGATTATTTATTTTGGGGGAAATTCAGTAATGTTATAATTATTCATGTAAAGGAGCAGTGTTATAACGAAAACTGAGCTTTTTCACAGATTACGATCGGCCACATGTGATCATTTGTCCACCATAGATGTAGCTGTCATAACCTTGTGTGGCATACCACTAGAACTTTGTTTTTTTTATCAAGATAAGACTTTCACTCAAAAGCTGGGAAATTACCTATGAAGCTACAGTGCTAGCTTAAGGATGCTATCCCATTTGTTTTCAGAATAGTCAGCATCAAAAATGTATATTTAGAAAAACAAACATCTTTAATTGCAAATATTGATTAACTTAGGCATTTTTGTAAAAAATCAAGAATAGTTAACTTCGTTGGTAACACTGACTAAAAATCCTCACCAGTGATATTAACACTACATAAAAAATAAGTAAATATTTTTCATGTCAATGTTTGAGACAATGACCATGCTTTATAACGCACACAAAGGATACTCAGAATACTTTGACTGACGTAGGAGAGTGCATTATGCATTGCGTTATTTCAAAATTGTTGCTTTCAAATACGCTACACAAATAATAGACAGAAGCCAATGCAATTTCCTTTCACTGGACCTAAATATTAATACCGCCTGCCAACTGAAGGACAAGAGACAGGGCTTCAGTTGTATTAGCATAAGACTCGTCAATTCTCGCTGCAACCATCTCCAAAGAACCACCCTCTCTACATCTTGCATAACTGTTGATGCACACCTTTATATGAGACACCAGTAATGCCAGGTGACACTTTTGTGAGGAATGTATTTATTGTGTCCAATTAGCCTACCTTAAAGACAGTCTAAATCAGTCTGCCAGCGATGGTCATGGTCCGAATTACATGTCTAGGTGAAGTCAATATATTGTTTGGTGGAAATAAGCTATTAAGGAGAGCTGGGAGCTTGTTTCCAAGGAAGATGCTGACTACCTTGCAATATTGAACAAAACAATTATAAAATATGGGTAGAAAATGTTGCATTCTTCGCATGAATGTGCAGGGTTACACTAATTTTTTTTGTTTAATTCCAATCACCACATTCACAATACAAGCCACTAATCTAGCTTATGCAATTCTCAAATATCAATGACTGCCCATTTTTTGCCAGACAATATATACAAAAAAATCTAAACGTCAGTAAAAATGTTCTGGTTATTATCACTCATGTAATAATAGTCCATTGCATAAGATATCAAAGGGATTTTTTCTGATAAAGACAATGTTACCTTTTTCGGTGGTGAGGTTTTTCTCTCTCTGTGTGTTTAAGTCCATTGTTTTAATTACACCACATTGTAAAATGTAAAAAGTGTGTTATGTTCACAGTGAAGAAACGAAGTCATAAATTGCCATTTTGACCCTCATTTATGTTGTATACCTTTGCTTTATAGCACATGTACAGAATATGAATATTTGTAAATTTAATTTTGGCTGTCCTGTTGATGAACAAATGAAGCATTTGTGTTGATGCTGAACGTGTGTACTCGGGCACGTGTTCGAAGGGGATTAGTTGTCGACCTTTGGCTGATTTGTGGTTGGTGGAACGAGGTGAATGGGGGCCAAAGTTAAGGAAAGTCTTCTCTTATTTCAGAAAGGTGAAGTGAAATATAATCAGTATACACAATATTGTCCAGCATTTGTGTATGCGTAAAGCTTTGAGCTTGATATTTCATAATTGCTTATACATTTGTAACCAATAAAGTACTGTCGCTCTCACTTCTTGCAAGTCAGGCTGATTTTTTTAAAATATATAGAAATGTGAAGTCTCGACATATGTGCTGGTTTATGCATTTATCAAATACTGCCATGAAACATTTTCTTAATTGTTGATATGATGGACCCACAACAGCAAAATAGCTTACTGGTTATGTTTATAATCAGTACAGTCAGTCATTAACCTCATCATCTTTGCTATCAATGCCATCAATATGATTATCAAAATCACAATTTCAACCGAGAAGATGGATTCTGGCTTAGCTTTCATTGGAAGGATTTGATAAAACCATTTCGGGTCTTAATTGATTGTTCACGCTTACGGTGGCTTTCAGACCGCATCCATTATTTTTCGTCTCCCCCCTCCTCTTTTCCGAACATAGATGGACTCGTCCATCAGAGCAAACTGTCAAATCGCTGTCCGTGGTGCTAACGTTAAAAATAACCGCCACTTTTTTCGAATTTTCTTGCTGTGGTTTTCACACCTGATGATGATTGCTTGTGTTGCAGTGGAAACATCGTGAGAATTTTATTGTTTTATATTTGTATTATTTTATTGTTTCCCTTATACGTGACTTTACCGAAAGAACCAAGAATATGAATCCCTGCAGTCACGAAAGCTTTAAATCACAGTACTCATTATTGTCCTTATCATCAACATGACTAACTTTATCATCAACACAATTATCATACTTCATTTTAATCTTCACAGGGACCAAGTGAATGATCTACTGTGCTATGAACATGTTATGCTGAGTTTCATTCTCAGTCATGGTTAACATCAGTGGCAAGCGACATCTGAACTGGTTTGGCTAACACCCTTCACTAACCTCTCTCTGACCATTGTGGTGAATTATGGTTAAATAACTTAAAATATTTGTGTGACGAGGCCTGTCATACATCACATCAACTTTACTTTCAATTTTCAAAGCATAATTAAATGTGTTGCACCCTCGAGATTCGTTCCTACAGCTTTCTCTAAGTATAGCGGTACGATGGGTAAAATCATGTTAACATAATAAACTTTTTGTTAGGGAGGGGGTGGGTGTTTTGGTGCCATGCTTAAATGCCTGGTGGTTTGATTCCCAGACATGACAATTCTATTGCGGGAGTGAGGGTAGTCACATTGGTTCGTTCTCTTGAAATATCTTGTTATTTCTGAGTAGAATTTGTGCATGTTCCGGCATTACGAAAAAATACATTAACATCACCTTCACAGGAGGCTTGGACAAGTGGTTGGCAGGATCGTGTGTAGGACTGAAGGCTGCATTGTTCTGAGCTGATGTGACACCTGATGACAATCACATCCTCTGTGAAGGGTAGGCGGGGGTGGGGGGACATCAGCACCTAAATCGTCAGCACCCAAATAAGAAACTTGTTCCCACCTTTAGTTACAACCAAATATCACGTGCAGTTCTCATCAGACACTGTCACTGTTATGCAATCACGTGTAAGTGGGGTTTGTCAAGTCTGCAATGCAATGGAAGAGATTGCAATGGTGTATACTACACAATAAAAAAATGTAATGATAGAGAAACTATATATTGCTACAGAAGGATACTGCATCTGAACGAGATGCTAAGAGTGACCAACACACAAGTAAGACAATGAGTGCACATAGAAGAAGACTTGATGAAGGCAGTGGTGAGACGGAAACTGGCACTATTTGGACACATATGTAAGATGGACAACAACAAGATATTGTAAAGTGTGTTGTTAGGAAAAATAGTAGGATCTAGAAAAAGAGGGAGACCTAACAAAAGAATGACTTGACGACATAAGCGATTGTGCAATGGAGATGTGGCACTACTCGAGCATAATGGCACAAGACAAAGGAAATTGGAAATAACTGACAAAATGTGCAGTGGACACCGACGGTCTATCTACCCATGGATCCTGGTGGTGATGATGATGTATAGGGGCGGTGGGGACAGTGACACTGTGTGTTATGTATTCCAATCCTGAGCATGGCTAAAATTATGATGTGTGATATTAATGAGTGTTTTATGAACCAATGTACCTTTGAAATAAATTGTTTAATCAGTGTGCATTACTTGCTATGACATACGGATCAGATACATGGACAATGATAAGGAAATGGAAATACATCTACAAAATGTGCATATGAGTCATGTTTGGAATTGCACTAATAGAGACATTTGAATGGACATATGGATGAGAGACCATACGCAAGTTGAAGACATCATATTGACTTTGTAAAAGTAAGTGGGCTTGGGCACGACACATCAACTCGAAGGAATTATGGCCGATGTTCGTAAAAAAACAGGAGTGCGCAAGCCCAAGAAGACGTCCGACACAGGTTTTTGAGCAATTAAATCAGCTCGTGTGCAGATGCTAGAGGATTGGTATGCATCGTGAGATGGCGACGGCTTGGGAAGCCGTCATCCAGCAGTGGACTGATGACAGCTGATGATGATGAAACTAAATTTGTTACAAATTCTCCAACGGGGATATGCAGTGTCATTTCACATCCATCCAGAAAGGCAATCATAATTTAGGAAAGGGACAATGGCATTCTGCTGCGGGAAAGTATAAGTACACAACGCTTCTTCAAGTAAAAAGATAAGTAGATTTTATTTGACCCTGATGCAAACTGATTGTCAATCATAATACAATACTGACAATACTTTATAATTATGTATATATTTCGGTTGCACTTTTTTTCGTCAATTGCAATCTACGATTTCTGCCGATGTTTCCACGTATTTATATCCCAAGATCTCCTTCACAAAATTTACTTTGGTCTCATCCATCTCACTGGTTCAAGGTCACCGACTTAGGGAGCTATTTACATTGTACTATTCATGCAGCTTGTAGTTGCGTTTAGCAAACTGATGAGACGTAGGAGTGAGAAACACATTTGTATCATCTCTGCTCGGGCCTTTCTTGAAGGTGCATTGGCGAAACGACAGATAAAAGTTAAAACCTGTAAAAAAATTTACGTGTATGTTGAATAAACGTCGTTACAAATGGTATGAGCATGATGTTTTACTGTTGTGTTTTGCTGTGACTTTTAGGGGCCCCATGACACCGTCTGGGAAATTATGCAGTCTGACTTGACATGGCATGCTCATAAACTTTTATGATAGTGAAATGAACCAATATCTACAATGCTGCAGGCTGCTGAATTCCATTTTGGAGGCTGTTGGTTTTTTTAATGTTTAATTTAAAAAAAAAAACTTTAATGTTAATTATTCAAACTAGAACAGAATAACATTTCTGAACATAATGAATATATAGAATGGTGTGTTAATATATGTTGTATTTACCTGGTAAATATTTTACGTAGGTATGTTTGTACATAAACAATATATACAGTATGCAGTATGTATATATCAATCTTTGTAAAAAAAAAGTAAAGTAGCCACTGTGTTCAGAATTGGAGATGAGGAATTCTGAACAAAGTATCCACTCAAACAGAAAATAATGTTTGAACATTACATTTCCAAAATTATTTGCATTAATCTAAGCTCACTAAATTGTACAACAAAGCGCTTTAATGTGGAAATGGTCATCTACGTTATATATAACACATCCATGTTGCAAGACAACTTTAAACATAAGGGCATTTATGCGGAAAACAATTACTTTAAAATGTCAACTGTTTAATTCAAGTAGGAAATAGGTTTTTATTTATGATTATTGGCTTAATGTATTTTATGGGGTTTAAATGTGGCAAAGCATGTTGTCTATAAAGGAAACATGTACCTCAAAGTATTGACCATTATCTAGAACAAAGTTTTATTAAAATAGACAATAGTTCACTTCTATTAGACGAAGCAATACAAGTAAATGGTTAAATAAATGTCGCTATGTTGAGATGATGTTACGTATGAAAGTGCATTAACCTCTATCCGCATACCTTTCAACATGCCCAAATTAATTTAATAATCATTGCTCATCCAACTTCTCACACTCATCTCCTTATCTCTGCACCTCAGTTACTTTTTGTACCTGACCACAATGGCTAGTTCATGGATTCATGAAAGCATAGCCACTGCAATCCATTACACTGAGGCTTTATGATGAAGAGTTGCCTATTAAATTCACCTTCACGAATGCCTTTACGTGAGATGTGTGCGAAAGTTAAAAGCTTTATGACGAATAAAAAGGGAAGATTGATTTTAAATATATCAAAACAATTATTGTTGGGTTTATTATTACATGTTTAAATACTACCTTATTATAAAACTATGTTATAACATAGATTTAGTTTCCTTGAGACTTTCAAGGTTATCCAGGCTCTCGTGTCATAGCTTTGAAAGGAGACTCTATGGCCATTAAAATACTGATGCTCGCAATAACAATATTGCAGTACATTCCAGCTAAAACCAACATTGTCAACTGTAATAAATGTTTTAAAAGTTCCATTATGTTTTGACAGTTGAAATTTTTATTTTTATTCCCATTTAAAAAAAGTGTGAATTTTTAATTTTCGTGAAAACATATTGGTTTTAGCTTTCATCCAGCGGTAGACTGGCAAAAGGCTGAATAATATTATTAAATTTGTGTTCGACAAGGCACAATTGCATACAGAAAATAATATTTTTTAAAGAATGTCAACATTATTCTCAATACATTACATTTGGCCTGGTTTTAACTGACATGAATTAGTTTTGTTTTCATTTTGCATTATAACAATACGTTGCAGAACAGTATGTTAAAAGCGCATCGGTCCGATGTATTTAACTGCTTTGAAGAAACTTTATTATATGATGTCGATATTTTAATCACGTATTTGCATATGAAGTCTGAGACTTGTACATCATTTCTCCACTTTAAGAATGAAATTATTCCACTTCCAAAAGGTAGAATGTTGTCAACTTTGCATGAATCCGATGCAAATTCTTAAGCAAGACTTCTATTACAGTAGAGAATATGGCATTACCGCTGTGTATTCAAACTCAAGCACAATACAATAATAAGAATTCATGCTTTGAGAATTAAAAGGCGCAAGTCTCCAATCGCTTCCTCGTGCCACT